CGGTGGCGCCACAAGCTAATCCATACTTCCTGTTAGTTCAAGATGACAGAAAACGAATGTTTACAAAAACGATTAGTTCGAAACTGGCAGTTTTCGGTGAATACAAAGGTTCTAAGACATTTTATTGTTACTCTAGACAATTGCGGTTACTCAAGCAATAACGGTAGGTGTCATGAAAGTGGTGAAAACACTGGAAAACTCTCGCAATAGTTACTTTAATAGAGCAAACTTAAACATTTTCGGCAACAAATTTATTCGTAATATAAATAATCCCAGAAGGATGCGGCACATGCCCAGATTCATGCGTCTGCCGCTGCATGCATGAAAGATATATTTGCTGTATAGCAATACTTGTACTGTAGTACGGGTAATTACCCGCATCTCTCTGACAGTTGTACCAAATGAGCTTTGCACGCTGCGATAAATACTACGCTAATCAATCTATGACAGAAGCTTGGACCATGAAGAAGCCATGCGCTGATTATAATAAAGCGCACTTGCTGTCATAGAAGCTGCGAAACGCTGGCGGCGCAACTCGCGCAACGACACGCTCGTGTACGCACACGCAGAAAAGGCGCGCGCGGGTTTCAGCGCACGCGTGTTCGCATTCTGCGGCGAAGTCTGCATTACAGCGGCATGCCGTCTGATGACTGCTAGCGTCACCGTGCTGCTGTGGCGCGACGGTGCCATCTGGCAGAAGCCCGAGCGGTTGCGCCGCTCGTAATCCGCACCGACTGTGCATCATTATCATCCTCCGAACACGCCCGCATGCTCATGGCTTGCCTCTGCCTCCTCCGCATCTTCCTCGTGCTGCGTCATCGGTACTGTACGGAGTCGTCTGCGAGTGTGCTACTAATACTGTCGTGATTCTACAATGTCGACTGTCGTCGTCGTCGGCTCTCACGTGAAGTGTTGAGTACGTGTGTGCGTGTGCGCGTGTGTACGCACGCGCGTGTGTGTGTACGCGCGCACGCGTGTCTGTCGCCGTGTGTGCGCGCGTGTGTTTGGTTGTCGACGACGTGAGTACACACGCACGAGTCAAGATGCGCAAGCTGCAAACACCTCGTGGAGGATTTAGATCGCTGGTAAATCGCAGTTCTTCGCTATCTACAGTAAGACCGATGATGTCGAGTGTGCGCGACTATTTTACGAGAAAAAACACATATGTGAATACATGCATACAACACGTACGTACGCACGTACGCACGTACGCACGCACGCACGCACTAGCAGACGCAACTGCAGCGCACGCACGCTACGCGCGAAAGACTGGACCACACACACATATACACACATCACACACCAGACACAGCAAACACACACACCACGGGCGTTTTTTTTTATTCTACTTTATTCGTTTTTTTGGTGTTTTTCGAGCCACACACACACATCACACACAGCACGCATATGCACGAATTATTAGGTATTATATTAGTAGTAGAGGTCACACATAATAGTAGCAGTGGCATAGTAGTAGTATTCGTGGTGTTAGTAGTATTACACATTGTAAGAGTTAAAGAGTACGGATTCGCATGCGTGATGATGTGAAGGCTATGCCAGAAACTACGCGCCGTCGGTACTATACATCTCCTCCATAACATCTTTTTTGGGGCTTCAGCAAGACATGTTTTTTGCATGTGGCTTGCAGCAATTACATTCGTATGCAGTCAGGATTCGCGAGTAAACAAAAAGGCATGGGCATTTTAAAGAATGTTTTTGAATGTTTTGAAGTTATTCCAAATAGCTATGTGCACACTGTTCCGCAGATCAAAATAAGCCTAGCCGTAATCTAGCACTAAAACAAGAAGCATCCAAAGCGTCTGTCCAAATCCAATTGCGACTTTGCTAGAAGCCCGGCACTGCTCGTGTGAAGGGATGCTCGCACCGTATATATACTGCTGGACACTAATTATTTATAATTTGTTTAAAACTAAGAACAGATTGAGCTATACTTCATCATTATATGGCTGTGGCGTGTACAATACTGCGCGTCGAGCGCGTGCCGTATTGCTTGCGTGCGCGGCCTGCATGCGCACTATACTCACTCGGACCCGCGCCACGCATCTTGCACTCCCCCGGGACACGCAGCGCACGCAGCGTCGACACGCCAAGCAGCAAACACATTGTAGACACCACCAACAGCACCACACAACAACACACACACGGACACACGACACACAAGCACCACACCAAGCACACACACGACACACACACATCTGCAGCACCGTGGCAACACGCACATTTTTGGCACGACGAACACGCAGCGTACATGGTATGCGCCACACACGCATGCAGCACGCCGCTAGTAATGCACTATGCGCAGGCCCACAAACGGGCACTCATATACCAACACATGTGTACGCTATAACGTAGCGTACGTGCGTAGATCAGGAGGCTACATGAGGAGTCTATTGATCAGACTCCTGTAATATTGCTCCGTCGTGTATTTAAGTGATAGTAATTCGGTGCTATGCTGAAACCGACGTTTCGCGAAATAAGAGAGCACATGTTCTCGTTACATAGTTACTTCAATTAGATAGCATGTAGCGGAGCAGGACAGACGATCAAAAGAGTAAGGCTCATTAGCCACGCACTTTCTCCACTGCCCCTACCCGCAGATACTAACCTGACATCTGCGGTATACTCAAGTTGCATGCTCTGTACTAGTGTAAAGCGTACATACTGTATGTGCGCGTGCGTGCGTGCGCACGATGCGAGCGTGAAAATTACGTGTTCCTGGTTTGTGTATGTCCTTCTCTGCTCCTGCTCCGTCATGTGTGGTGTGGCATTCGTGCGTGTGCGCGCGCTGCGTGTTGGCGTGGTGTGTGTGTGTGTGTTTGTATGTGTGTGCTGTTGCTGTGTGTGCTGTGTGTGTTGTGTGTGTGTGGTGGGATGTGTGGGTGTGGCTGTGTTGTTGTGGGTGTGCGTGCGCGCGTCTCTGCTACGAAAGACGAGAGTGGAGAGAAGAGATAGAAGAAAGGGGAGAGAAAGGTAGGGGGCGGGAGGCAAGAGAGAAAGAGAGAAAGAAGGAAAGAAAAAAGAAAGAAAGAAAGAACGATAAGAAAGCTATAGATACGATAGATAGATGATAGATAGATAGATAGATAGATGGATAGATAATTATATATATCTTTATATAAATGGATAAATAGATAGATAGATAGATGGATAGATAATTATATATATCTTTATATAGATAAATAAATAGATAGATAGATAGATAGATAAATATATAGATCGATCGATAGAAAGATAGATAGATAGATAGATAGATAGATAGATAGATAGATAGATAGATAGATAGATAGATAGATAGATAGATAGATAGATAGATAGATAGATAGATAGATAGATAGATAGGATCAACTAGATTTTAAAGCAATATCTTTAGCCTGTTAATATTTTCATGCGCGTATGAAAATCCTATATACGATCGCGCGCAGGGCCGATTAGATCCAATCGACCGCTACTAGTTTCTTTCCAGTAACGGGTATTTGTATTTCATTAATTAAAAATTAGCTCACTGCATGCGCAAAATTGTGCATGGCATCAATAGACGAGACGCTAACTAAATTTAATTGAATACACACACGAACGCGCGCACACACACACGAACGCGCGCACGCACGCACGCACGCACGAACGAACGCACGCACGCACGCACGCACGCACGCACGCGCACACACACACACGCGTACCCAAGCGCAAACGCACGCACGCACATTCACGAACCGCTTACTTAGACCCGCAGGCACGTAATTTTATACGCATGACCATGCCCAATAACGTCAGGGAAAGAGAGACACTAGACTGGGAGAAGGAAAGAAAATTAAAGCGGGGGAATATAGAGAGCGATCGGGGAAATGTGGAGAGAGAGAGAGTGAGAGAGTGAGAGTGAGTGAGAAAGAGAGAGAGAGAGAGAGAGAGAGAGAGAGAGAGAGAGAGAGAGAGGGAGAGAGCAAGGGACTTTGGAGAGCAACCATATCCCCTGTGGTTATGACCAACGTTGTTCTTACCGTGAGTGCTAACACAACTATGACCAAATATTCTATCACCAAAGTTTGCGTAGCATTATTCTTAGCCGCATACTACCGTGTGTTTACATAGCTTTCCGTCTGTTATAATCTCCCCCTGTATCGATTCGCAATAACAACCATGACGCTATAAACCTTTCACTAATCGATGGAAGCCGATAAAATCTAAGGCTTGGAAAGCTTTTTTTGTAATTTCATATATTAAGAGAGACAGATTGCTATTGTCTACAATTAACACACCCGATTCGTTCCGCCTTTCACGTCTCAGTACATATCATCTACGGGATATCGGATTGCGCATGAGCTATGTGTTAACCTCACTTATATCGGGTGCTCTATTTATCATTGTCACGCGTGAGCGTTCCTACACACGCGCTCACGCACCCACACATACACACGCGCGCGCACGCACGGACACACGCACCCTCCCCCCACACACACAAACACATACAAATACGCATACGCACACTGGTATACACTCTCTGTTCCTCTCTTTCTGCAACTATATTTCTTTCGCTCTCTCTCTAGCGCGCGGTCTCTTTCCTTCTCTCTTTTTCTCTCTCTCTCTCTTTCTCTCTTTCTCTCTGTCTGTCTCTCTTTCTACCTGTCTGTCTGTCTGTCTGTCTGTCTGTCTGTCTGTCTCTGGTCTGTCTGTCTGTCTGTCTCGTGTACTCTTATCTCTTTTGTATCTCGGACACGCTCCCTCTGGTGAGCCCTGCGTTTGACTACTCCTCGCTTCCTCTTTCTTCTTGCCTGATTACTCGGCCCCTCAGCTTCATTCCACTCTCTGCCTTCACCCGCCCGAGTGTCTCTTAACTCTCACTATTCAAGTGTACCCGATACACACGAAAAGAATATTGCTGCCTATAAGGGCCTGAAACTAAATTGCATATTCGTACAATTTACCATGCATGCAATCAAGTTTGTGTGCTAATTGTGTTAATTGCGCTAATTGTGTTTTGTCAGGAACTGGTCGGAAGCCAGCCGGTGGACAGGAATTGGAAAGGAATCGCTATCGCTGTGCTAGTCATCCTGATTGTATGTTCCATCATTGTCACAGCAATAGTCTTGCTCACGCCAGGTAGGCACGGTGCTGTGGAACTTTTACAATTATTGACGACAGCTAATCCAGTCGTGCCTGTTAAATATTTAGAAACACGAAACCTTTTTTACCGCTTCGTATAATAGATAGGTTCTCTCTAGGCACGGGCTACATTTAGATAGTATTCATTTTGTTGCATTTTCTGTTCCTTTCTGAAGAGAAAACCTGATATACTGTGCAGTTAAATGTGTCATGGAATTATACACTCATTTTCTGTAGCCCAGATTCAATGTCGAAGTCGATGTGGTAACTAATATGGTGTCATGTTTGCTTTCATTGAAACGTGGCGATATCCAGAAATCGGTAATAACGGATACGTAAACTCTTTCAATGTTGTGCCATTAGCTAGAGTACATATGTCTACATTAGCCGTAATCTAGCTTGGTTGTACAAACACGTTTAGCACGTAGTAAATGACTCTGTCTGTAAGCAGCATGTGTATGGTTGTCGATACGTGCATTTAATTCTCGCATGAATCTCAAATGAATCAAAATTAAATGAAAGCATAACACCGACAACCGTTTTTAAACTTACTGATAAACGATAAAACTTAAAATGGTGAAAGATGTTTGTGTGTATGTACTGCTGTATCCGTCACCTTAAACAGGCGGCGGCAAGGAAACACAAGCCACACACGCGCGCACGCACGCACGCACGCACGCACGCACGCACGCACACACACACACACACACACACACACACACACACACACACACACACACACACACATATATATATACACACACACACACACACACACACACACACACACATGTGTATATATATATATATATATATATTTATTTATTTATTTATATACCCGTCTCATTTATTACATAAAATTGAATTTTGAGTTCATGAAATTTCATTTTCATTTTCATTTAATATAGTTCATGAACATGGTATCAGGTATTCAGACTATTGACTTTTCCACACCACGGTCGCATTAAATATATAATCTTTTGAGCTTCCAACGGCGATATAAATGATTTTCCATTGCAGCTTTTTGTGGGTTGTATTAGCGCATGAAGGTTATTGAATATTGTTTGAATCGTATAACTGGAGACCACGTTCCTACGTTTAATATATATGTATATATTTAGATCATATCAAGAGCTAATAATAATATATATATATATATATATATATATCGAATATAATTATAGCAAGTTAGTTACGCTGATTTCTCGGTAACAATTTTACGATTTCCTTCATTTCTAGAACAAGAGATCACATTCATTGGAGATCGCATGACGTTTGACCAGGTGTTTAATGGAGAATTTAGCACTGGAAAATACTCGATGAAATGGCTGACAGGTAAATAACCCATTGCCGTTTTCCCGTAATTTATACGTACGGCAGGTCGGTTGAACTTCATATTGTAAGACATGAATGGCTGCGTAAATGAGTATGAATCGAGCGTAGCGATAAGAAAATAGTTCGTAAAGTATTCTGGCGTGCGACGGTCAGATTAATTATCTGAAATCGACGAAACGATGGCTGACTCACTTCGCGTCTGCTGTACCTGCGCTTGCAAACAGCAACAACGCAATAAAACGCAATTTTTCGTGATGTGTTCGGAAAATGAAAGTCGTAGCAGCCGTCGGATGTGTGACTACTGTTTATTGTCCCTGTTCATAATTGTTACTGCAATTGCCATAATGCACACTTGTTCACACAACGGTGAGCTGCATTCCAGGACTATGGTGGCCGAGATAGCTACGGATATTTTTATTATTTATTTTTAATTTATTTTCATTCCATATTCATTTTCATTTCAAATTCATTTTTATTTCAAATTCATTTTCATTCTCATTCCAAATTCATTTTCATTTCGAATTCATTTTCAAATTCATTTTCATTTTCATTTCAAATTCATTTTTATTTCAAATTCATTTTCATTTTCATTCCAAATTCATTTTCATTTCAAATTCATTTTCAAATTCATTTTCATTTTCATTTCAAATTCATTTTTATTTCAAATTCATTTTCATTTTCATTCCAAATTCATTTTCATTTCAAATTCATTTTCAAATTCATTTTCATTTTCATTTCAAATTCATTTTTATTTCAAATTCATTTTCATTTTCATTCCAAATTCATTTTCATTTCAAATTCATTTTCAAATTCATTTTCATTTTCATTTCAAATTCATTTTTATTTCCTTTTTCATTTTCATTTTCATT